TATGTTGCCCAGGCTGGAGTGCAATGGCATGATCATAGTTCACTGCTCTCTCAAACTCCCTCAAGTGTTCCTCCCACTTCAGCCTCCCAAGTAGCTAGGACTGCAGATGTGTGCCACCATGCCTGGCTCATCTTTTTTTATTTATTATTTATTTATTTTTTTTGAGATGGAGTCTTGCTCTGTTGCCCCAGTTGGAGTGTAGTGGCGCGATCTTGGCTCACTGCAAGCTCCGCCTCCCGGGTTCACACCATTCTGCTGCCTCAGCCTCCCAAGTAGTTAGGACTACAGGCGCCAGCCACCGTGCCTGGCTAATTTTTTGTATTTTCAGTAGAGCTGGGGTTTCACCGTGTTATTCAGGATGGTCTCGATCTCCTGAACTCGTGATCCACCCGCCTCCACCTCCCAAAGTGCTGGGATTACAGGTTTGAGCCACCGTGCCCGGGGCCTGGCTCATTTTTAATTTTTTTGGAAAGACAGGGTCCCACTTCTCACTTTGTTGCCCAGGCTGGTCTTGAACTCCTAGGCTCAGGTGGTTCTCCCACCTTGTCTTCTCAAAGTACTGGGGTTATAGGTGTGAGCCACGATGCCTGGCCAAGACATATTGTTGAGTGAAAAAAAGGTAAGTGGTACTATTCACTTGCGTACTTAAAAATTAGCCAAACAGAAGTGAACATTAATATGTGTAAAGCTAAAGACCCCCTTGATTCTCCTGGAAAATTCCATTTCCTTTCTATACACAAATGTGGAGTTTTTAATTCTCTTTTTACATAATTAGCATTATACTATATGTATTGTATAGCATTATATGATATGCACTGTTCTACAGCCTTTTTTTTTTTTTTTTTACACTTAATGGTAAGTTGTGGAGGTGTTTCCACTGCAGTATCCAAGTCTTACCTCATTCTTTCTATTAGATGTTCATTATGATTTTTTTTTTTTTTTTTTTTGAGACAGGCTGTTGCCTAGGCTGGAGCGCAGATCTCAGCTCACTTCAACCTCTACCTCCTGAGTTCAAGCAATTCTACCTCAGCCACCTGAGTAGTTGGGATTACAGGCATGCACCACCACTTGGCTAATTTTTTTTTTTTTTGAGACGGAGTCTCGCTCTGTCACCCAGGCTGGAGTGCAGTGGCCGGATCTCAGCTCACTGCAAGCTCCACCTCCCAGGTTTACGCCATTCTCCTGCCTCAGCCTCCTGAGTAGCTGGGACTACAGGCGCCCGCCACCTCACCCGGCTAGTTTTTTGTATTTTTTAGTAGAGACGGAGTTTCACCGTGTTAGCCAGGATAGTCTCAATCTCCTGACCTCATGATCTGCCCGTCTAGGCCTCCCAAAGTGCTGGGATTACAGGCTTGAGCCACTGCGCCTGGCCAATTTTTGTATTTTTAGTAGAGATGGGGATTCGCCATACTGGTCAGGTTGGTCTCAAACTCCTGGCCCCATGTCATCTGCTTGGCCTCCCAAAGTGCTGGGATTACAGGTGCAAGCCACCGCACCTGGCCCATTATGATCATTTTTAAAGTCTACTTCTCTACTAAAGGATATTTAGCTTGTTTTGAGACTTCTGCTGATACAGATGATAATACAATCCTGGGTGAAGTATATACCCAAAGTGGCTGTACCTATTTACACTCCATCAGGGGATGGAGGTATGTAACCAGTCCCCTACCCATCACTATTAATAAAAAAAACAACCTTTTATGATTTTGCCAAATGAATGACAAAATGTTATTTTAGTTTCCATTTCCTTGGTATAATGAAGTAAAATATTCATTCTATTTCATTTCATTTGTTCTTTAGCCTTTCAAGTTTATTTTTCCATGAATTGCTTAGTTATATCCTTTACCTAATTTTTTTTTCTTTATTTGAGATGGAGTCTCGCTCTGTGGCCCAGGCTTGTGGGGAAAAGAAAGAGAGATCAGACTGTTACTGTGTCTATACAGAAAGAAGTAGACATAAGATACTCCATTTTGTTCTGTATTTGAGATGCTGTTAATCTGTAATCCTATCCCCAACTCTGTCCTTGCAAGAGACATGTGCTGTGGTGACTCAAGGTTTAATGGATTTGGGGCTGTGCAGGGTGTGCCTTGTTAAACAAGTGCCTGAAGGCAGTATGATTGTTAAAAGTCATTGCCATTCTCTTAATCTCAAGTACCCAGGGACACTTGCACTGCGGAAGGTCGCAGGGACCTCTGCCTAGGAAAGCTAGGTATTGTCCAAGGTTTCTCCCCATGTGATAGTCTGAAATATGGCCTCATGGGAAGGGAAAGACCTAATTGTCTCCCAGCCTGACACCTGTGAAGGATCTGTGCTGAGGAGGACTAGTATAAGAGGAAAGAAGGCCTCTTGGCAGTTGAGATAGAGAAAGGCATCTGTCTCCTGCCCATAGCTGGGCAATGGAACATCTCCGTGGAACAGAGTGGGAACTGCCAAACACTTTCAAAACCATCAGCTCTCATGAGAACTCACTATCATGAGAACAGCATGGGGGAAATCATCCCCATGATCTGATCACCTCCCACCAGGTCCCTCGCCTGATACGTGGGGACAGAGCCAAATCATATCATCCTTCCCTCCAGCCCCTGGCAACGTCCATCCTACACTTGCACCTGTCTCTGTGTAGATAGACTATAACTGCTCTAGGTGTCTCATACGCATGGAATCACACAGAATTTGTCTTTGGGTGACTGGCTTGTTTCACTCAGCATGATGTCCTCCAGGTTCATTCATGTTGTAGCATATGTCAAATTTCCTTGCTTTTTAAGGTTGAATAATATTCCTTTGTATGTATATAACACACTTTGTTTATCTATTCATCTGTCATTGGCCACTTGGATTGCTTCCACTTTTTGGCGATTATAAATAATCCTGTGAACATGTGTGTAAGAATACCGCTTCAAGACTCTGCTTTCAATTCTTTGGGGGTGTACCTAGAAGTGGAATTGCTGGGTCATATGGAATTCTATTTTTAACTTTGAGAACTACAGTTTTCCACAGCACTGCATCATTCTACATTCCTACCAGCAAGGCACATGGGTTCCAATATCTCTACATTCTGGCCAACACTTTTTATTTTGTATTGCTGATACTAGCCATATTAGTGTATGTGAGGTGATTTTGCTTCTTTTTCTGTGATTTTTGTAACACAAGGCAAGCCAGAAGCAAGAAAACAATGCATGCTTAAGTTTAGAGGGCTACCCTTCAATTAGACAGTCTGTATTCAAATCCTGGCTATACCACACCACTCTAGCTGTGTGTCCTCATGCAAATTTCCCCAACCTCTACTGCCCCATCTATAAAATGAAGTTAAAAATCATACTGATAGCCTTGGCAACATGGCAAAACCCAGCCTCTACCAAAAAAAAAAATTAGCTGGGCATGGTGGGATGCATCTGTAGTCCCAGCTACTCGGGAGGCTGAGGTGGGAGGATTGGTTGAGCCCTGGAGGTCCACACTGCAGTGCCCTGATGGCACCACTGCACTCCAGCCTGACAGAAAAAACAAAACAAAACAAAAAACCCTGCCTCTAATCCCAGCACTTTGGGAGGCCGAGGCTGGTGGATCACTTGAGCTCAGGTGTTCAAGACCAGCCTGGGCAACATGGTGAAACCCCATCTCTACAAAAATTAGCCAGACATGCAAACTGTTCCAACACCTTTCACTGAGTAGTGTGTACTTTCCCACTGGTTTCTAGCAACACAGAGGTTTGTTTTTGGACTGTCCTCTGTGCAATTGATCTATTCCTGACCCTCCACCATTTTCCAGAGCTTTGGAAACAAGTGGAGCTACCAGGTTGGAGAAAGCTCCCTTTGTTGTTCCTTTTCAAAGCTGGCTTGGCTTTCCCTGCATTCTCCTTTTCTAAACTCAGCCTCTGTGTGTGTGTGTGTGTGTGTGTGTGTGTGTGTGTGTGTGTATGTGTATGTGTATATCTCCTGGTGAGCTTTTGAATTAACTGTCAGCAAAAACTAACGTGGAGGAAAAGTGATGTGTTCAGAGCATTGTATCCTCTTACTGGGAAACTTTTGTCTCCCAGAATTTGTTTCTCCCTTCTTAGCTCACCCAGGTAAACCTGAGTGTTCTCTTTCACCAAGGACTGGATCACAACCACTGTGGATAAAAGCTCTTATTACCCTTGAAGACAGGAGGGGCTGGAGACAAACTGCCAAATGAGAAAATGTGAAAGGGAACCGAACAATGTGCTTTGGGGAAACAGGCTACTCAGGGTGGTGACCTTGGGAATGCAGCTGACCGTCAGCCAAGAAAAGCCCCTGGGCCTCCTGGACATTCCTCTGATAAATCTGAAAACAGCTTTGCAGAAGCAACTAGAAAATCCCCAAATTCACAGGCCCCACAGGCTAGGGGCTGGCATTAACTCCCCCTAACTCTATTCTACAGATGAAGAAAGTGAGGTTAGGAGGTTGGAGAGGGCCAAACCTAGATGAGCCTGGTCTCTCCTGTTTCCCTAGACTTGAACTTGACTTAGCAGGAGGGTGGGGTGCCATCTGAAGGTGGAGGAGAACGCATTCTGTCCCCCAGGCTCCACCCCAGCCCCAAACAGACCAGTGGCCAAGTCTCAAGTGTTTCTTTCTTTTTTTTTTTTTCTTTTTTTTTTTTCTTTTTTTTTTTTTGAGACAGAGTCCTGCTCTGTCGCCCAGGCTGGAGTGCAGTGTCGTGATCTCAGCTCACTGCAACCTCCACCTCTTGGGTTCAAGTGATTCTTTTGCTTCAGCCTCCCGAGTAGCTGGGATTACAGGCACCTGCCACCAAGTCCGGCTAATTTTTGTATTTGTAGTAGAGACAGGGTTTCACCATGTTGGCCAGGCTGGCCTTGAACTCCTGACCTCAGGTGATCCACCCGCCTCAGCCTCCCAAAGTGCTGGGATTACAAGCGTGAGCCACCGCTCCCAGCCAGGGTTTCACTCAACTGGGTGGCTCCCTTGGAGTAGACCCCCCCACTGCTCCGCATCCTTCCCCCCTTTAAGAAGAGACCAGTCCTTGGCTCATGCTGTTCATGGGATTTATTGCCACTCCCCTAAGGTCAACAGGAGAAGGGGACACCAGCCACACCTCACCACAGGCATAGGTGGCACTGAGCCACCTGGCACTATCTCCACGTGCTCCACATGGAGGGGTGCTTCCTCACTCGCAGCAGCTGCACTTCTCTGCCTCTGCCTCGGCCCCCTCTCCGCCTTTGCACACACAGTCCTTGGCACACTTCTCACACTCCGCAGGGCAGCAGGAGCAGCAGCCTGCAGATAAAATGGAAGATGACCAGTCTGATGCACACTCCCGAAATCCGTCCCCATCAAAGGGGAGGGAAGGGTGCTGGGTGGGGAGTCATCCTCGTTCATTCAGCCAGGGCTGGTCACAGCCCCCTTCTTAGTCTCGCACCTGCTCTGACTCAGCATCTAAGTCGCGGCAGTGGCATCCTGCACCACCACAGGAGAGAGGTACCCAAGAAATAGACCAGAGCCCCTTGGGTGGATGCCAGGAAGTCCTGGGGGCTGGTGGGCTTAAGCTCAGGTTAGGTGGGTACTAGGCCTTAAGGAGAAAGCATCACAGGGTAAACGACCTTGAAAGGGGCCTTGAAGGATAAACTTGGGAGGGGCAGATATGACGCAGATGTAGGGGGCCCAGGAAAGCCGTGGGGAGGGGGTGGGGACCTGTGCCTGGTCTTATACCTAGGGAAGAAGGGAGCCTTCCTCCCACCTCTTAGTCTCTATGCATATTACACTGCTGTGAGCTGGGGAGATTCTGAGATCAAACTGAGAGGATCTGTAAGGCCTGAGAGAGGCCAAGGGACCGGAACTCCAGAGCTGAGCCCCAGCCTCCCTAATGGCTTCCCCAGGTTTTGGGGGTTTTGAGGGGTGGGGCGGGAAAGACTGGACCAGTGTAGCAGTCCTCAATCCCAGCTGCCATTGGAGTCTTCCGGGGATTTACAAAAACCTCTCGTTCCATGCCTAGGCCATCAATTCCTGGGTGTGGGGCAAGGGCATCTGTATTTTAATGTCTTCCCGGGTGGTTCTGTTCCAGCAAGAGTCAGAAACCACGGGATTGGGGCCTGGCGGTCTCTCCGTATCCTGCGTATCCTGCGTATCCTGCGTGGTGAGACACCAACTCCGCAGAGCAGAGGGGGCAGCGGCAGAGGGGAAGGGTCCCCGCACTCACTCTTCTTGCAGGAGGTGCATTTGCAACCCTCGCACTTGCAGGAGTCCGCGCAGGTGCAGGAGCCACCTAGAGAGGGCGACGCCACAGGAAGGGTTAATGTGGACAAACTCGGGTCCCCACGCCTGTCACGAGGAGATGGGGCACCAAGTCTCCCTGTTCTCCGCGACACAGGCATGCCCACCTTTCAGGAGGTGAAGAATAGGGAATCAGGAGCCCTTCCCCCAAGTGTCCTTGAGCGAAGGCGCGGGGCGTGGGTTTTTTTTGCAGGTACAAGGGCGCACAGTGCCGCAGGATGGGAGCGGCGGCGGGGGCTCACCAGAAGGGCAGGGGCAGGTCTCGGGGTCCATGTCGAAGCGAGCAGCAGCTGGAGGCTGTGAATGGGCTTCTCCAAGCAACTGGACGCGCGGCTTGGCTAGTGGCAGCAGGTGGCGATGCTTTTATAGCCCCGGGCGGGGGCGCGCATGCCAAGCCCGCTGGGCGCCCGCCCCTGCGCACCGCGCCGGCTCTTTGCGTTTGTGCACTTGGGCTCCGGCGCACGCACTGCGGCATCTGTCCCCTGCCCCCGCCGTGTGTGTGCACGGCCAGGGCCCGTTCGCCCACGCCCGCGCGTGCGCCCCCACTCCCACCCCGCAGTCGCTTGCACGACCCACTCCCCGCCGCCACGCGCGCGCTGCCAGTCCGCTCCCCGCGTGGGTCCCGTAGGGGACGTGCCCGCCGCAGCAGCCGCCACTGCGTGGAAGCGCGCACGTACCATCTCCGAAAGTGGAGGAAAAGGCGCTTTGCGTATTTCCCAGCTCTTCCCTTCCTCTCTTCCCCTTAATTCGAGAATTCTCCCGGATGCCAGATCTGTTCAAATGGGTTGCTGGGCTGGGGGCAGAAAGAGGCTCCTCATGTTGAGCCCGACACTGACTCTTTCACCCTCCGAGTGCCACTGGCAAGGGGCGTGTTCCATTTCCCGGCTGTCCCGCCTGGCATCTTCAGGTCCTTGACTCCTAACGCTCCATCGTAAGTAAGAAAAAGTGAGGCCAGAGAAGCGGGAATGTTCGTAGGTCTCAGAATGAGCCTGAGGCCGAGCCAGGCCTAGAACTCAGAACTCAGGTACCTAGAGGGATTGTCAGTGGGGGGCATGTTAAAATCAGGGCAGCTCGGTGAGATTTTTCTATTTATAAAAAGGAGGCCGGACATGGTGGCTCACGCCTGTAATCCCAACACTCTGGGAGGCCGAGGTGGGCAGATCACCTGAGGCTGGGAGTTGGAGGCCAGCCTGACCAACATGGAGAAACCCCATCTCTACTAAAGGTACAAAATTAGCTGGGTGTGGTGGCAGGTGCCTGTAATCCCGGCTACTTGGGAGGCTGAGGCAGGAGAATCACTTGAACCTGGGAGGCAGAGGTTGCAGTGAGCCCAAATCACGCCATTGCACTCCAGCCTGGGCAACACAAGGGAAACTGCGTCTCAAAAAAAAAAAATTATTTGGGTGTGGTGGCATGCACCTGTAGTCCCAGCTACTTGGGAGGCTGAGGCAGGAGGATTACTTAAGCCCAGGAGGTTGGGGAGGCTGCAGTAAGCCTTTTTGTACCACTGCACTCCAATGTGGGTCAGAGCAAAATCCTGTCTCAAAAAGAAAAGAGAGCCTAGGTAAAATAAGATTGATAAATATTTATATGAATATAAGGGATTTCGGTGCAAAATGAAAGGAAAAGAAGTCTAAGCTGCCAAGGAGAATCATTTGTGACTGAGCAGGGTAGTGTGAGTGAGAATGAGACCCCGAGAAGGGGAGAGGAGAGAGGTCATTGAAGTTTGGGGGCAGCAAAGAAGGGACCAGAGCTGGGAGAGGACCTCTGTAAAAGGCATTTTAAAAAAAGTTATTGTGAAGTGTTTGACTGTCACCGTCTCTGCTGTCCCTCTGAGACTTTCTGAAAATCTTCCTTACTTGCCAGTGCTTTCACAGAAGGGGCTGTGTTTCGGGGTAGATGGAGTCGAGCATTAAGATGACTCCCAAGGCCAGCGGCTCACGCCTGTAATCCCCATATGCTTTGGGAGGTCAAGGTGAGAATCACTTGAAGCCAGGAGTTTGAGACCAGCCTGGGCAACATAGTAAGACCCCATCTCTACAAAATAAATAAATAAAATAAAAATTTTAAAAATTAGCCAGGAGTGGTGGGGAGCACATGTACCCCTAGCTACTTGGGAGGCCGGGGTGGGACGATTGCTTGAGCCTAGGAGTTTGAGGCTGCAGTGAGCTCTGATCACACCACTGAACTGTAGCCTGGATGACAGAGCAAGACCCTGCACCTCCCCGCAAAAAAGATGGCCCCCAACTGAAGGCAGGGACAGAGGAGGTGTTTGACAAAGAACTACTCACACTGGAGTAACCCAGTAAAGAAATTCATCCTGAGATGAGAATTTTTAAAGCAAAGCCCGCACTGGGCAGGGCAAGAGGCGCTGCATGCTGTGCTACCACAGGAGAGGGGTACCCAAGCCAACCAAGGCTAACCAAGGTCCAAAATAGAGCCTTGTATGGAGAGTCGGAGGCTGTATTCCAGTGTAGGCTCTCACATGGACAGCGTAGGTTCTAGCCACTGGACAGTTGGAATATCAGATCTCAGAGTTCGCCAGCTCTAGCATCAGCCAGTCATCTGTTTCTTTGCTTTCATTTTGCCTAAGGGCACTGTGACCTCTAACTTCTTTGCTCTAGGCCCTGAACCTCAGGGTTTCTGTATCTAGGACCTTCACGCTTGGGATACATTCACCCGAAGCTGCCTACCCCGCAATCTCCCTCAGGCCTCGCAGATTTCTTTGGGACTGAGGTTTCAGAGCTGGCATAGCAACCTCCTTCCTGTCCCAAGGATGGCCAGGATATTGAGGGGTCTGAAAACCACAGCATCTTTCTGATACCCCCTACCCCTCATCCTGCATGTGGCCTTCAGTTCTCAGCCTCTGTGAGGAGCACGCCATGCAGGTCTATCATTCCAAGAGGTCCCTTTCTCCCCTACCTTTATCCTCTCTGACCCCTTGTTAATTCTTACGTCTCGAAGTGGCCGGGCATGGTGGTTCACACCTGTAATCCCAGCACTTTGGGAGGCAGAGGCAGGTGAATCATTTGAGGTCAGGGGTTTGAGACCATGCTGGCCAACATGGTAAAACCCCATCTCTACTAAAAATTCAAAAAAATTAGCCGGGCATGGCGGTGGGTGCCTGTAATCCCAGCTACTAGGAGGCTGAGGCAGGAGAATCGCTTGAACCCAGGAGGCGGAGGTTGCAGTGAGCTAAGATAGCACCACTGCATTCCAGCCTGGGTGACTGAGCCAGACGCCATCTCAAAAAACAAACAAACAAACAAACAAAAACTCGAAGTTATCTTGTCTATGTTTCTGTAGCCTGTGATTCTCCTTCCCCAGATAACCGTGCAAGTCACTCCCTTCTTTCTTTACTTCTTTTTTTTTTTTCTTCTGAGACGGAGTCTCACTCTGTTGCCCAGGCTGGAATGCAGTGGCCAATCTTGGCTCACTGCAAGCTCCACCTCCCGAGTTCACGCCATTCTCCTGCCTCAGCCTCCCAAGTAGCTGGGACTACAGGCACCCGCCACCACGCCAGGCTAATTTTTTGTATTTTTAGTAGAGATGGGGTTTCACCGTGTTAGCCAGGATGGTCTCGATCTCCTGACCTCATGATCTGCCTGACTCGGCCTTCCAAAGTGCTGGGATTACAGGCGTGAGCCACTGCGCCCAGCTTTCTTTCTTTACTTCTAAGTCTTTGCTCAAATCTGCTTTCTCTGTGAAGCCAGTCATGATCACGCTATGTAAAATTGCATGCTTCGACGCCCCAGGAATTCTCATCTCCTTTACCTTGCTCTATCTTCCCTTTTTCCATAGCATTTAACGTTCACAAGCAAACTAAATAATTTATTTATTTGTAATGATTATATGTTGTCTCTATTCTGCTAGAATTTAAGCAAGAAAGAGCAAGAATCATTGTTTTTGTTCACTGGTGTCTCTGGAGTGCCTATAACAGTGCCTGGTATGTGATAGACATTCAAGACACATTTACCTGATGAACGAATGAATGAATGAGCCTGAGGTCATGCTAGTTGAGTTTACAGTGTGACTCTGCCGCTTAATAGTAATATGGCAGCCGGGCATGGTGGTGTGCACCTGTAGTCCCAGCTACTTGGAAGGCTGAGGTAGGAAGATCATTTGAGCCCAGGAGTTCAAGGCAAGCCAGGGCAACATGGCAAGACCCCTTCTTTCTCTACAGCAAACAAACAAACACCATAGCAGGTTACTAACTAGGTCAACTTAACATTTCTGTGCCTTGAGTTGCTCAACGGTAAAATGAAAATAATAGTAATAGTAATAATAGTTCCTGCTTAATAGATTTGTCAGGGACTTAAATGGGATGGCATTGGGAAAAGACTTACAGCAGGGTCCTCACCACATTGGTTCTCACCATTTACAAATGAAGAGGTCAGGTGAGGGCTCTGCAGGGAGCCTGGGTTCCTAAAGCTCCTGCTTGACACCCAGTCTCATGGTTGGCCTCAGCTCTGTGCTTCCAGAAACATAGTCACCTGTGGCCTGTAATTGGTACAGTACTGCAGATGCCAGCATGGGCCACCTGAGTCACAGACATCAGTCCTCAATCCAGACCTTGTACCCAATCCTAGAGCTTCTGGGAGAAGGGAGTTCACAGAAACTTTTACGTTTTCAATTTGACTGGGGCCAAGAGGCAAGACCAGTAGGCTGAGGGGTGGAGATCACTCAAGGTCACACTAAGGGATGGAAAATCCCCAGATGATCTCAGAAAAAAAGCAAGACCCCAGCAAACCCCACACCCTGCTGAAATTGGTCCAGTGCAGGATTAAGACTGTTGCATCGCTCTCAAAGAGTTTCCCAATTTACTATCCTGGGACTGAACAACTGGCTAGGATTTTAGGAGCCTGGGCATACAGTATACAAAAAGAGTTTGCAAATATGCAAATCTACAAATAAAGTCATTTCTTGGAGAAATCTGGATGTGTTAGTAGAATGAATGTTGAATGAACAATTTTGTGCACAGGGCAGCTGAAGCGAGAGAAAGGGCAGGGGTCTAGAAGTTCCGTGGTTTCTAGTTTCAGCTTGTCTAGTAAGTGGTGTGGTGAACGCAAGGAAGCCTCTCCTCAATTTGTGCCCCTCTTTTCACAGGGGTTGACCAGATGACTGCTAATGGCTACTATGGACAATGTCTTCCACTTGCTGGGAGTTTACCATGTACCTGGTACCATATAGAGCACTGTGGGGAGCTAATCTCATGTTATCTCACTGACTCCTTCACATATTATCTCATGGACTCCTTCCAGTTATCCTTATGGTAGGCATTGTTAACTCCGTTTTGTAGGGAAGGAAATCGAGGCTCAGAGAGATTCAGTGGCTTGTCGTGGAGGCAGACCCTGGACTTAAATCTAAGTGCATTACTCTTCAGCCTGCTCTGATGTCTTTAATTCAATCCACTATGAATTCTAGTTATTAGGCATGCTACCCACCAGGCCCCTGGATAGTTGATAATGCTTTGATACCCCAATCAAACTTTACAGAATTGCGGAATCTTCATCTGCAACAAAGAAAGTCATCCTGCCTCCTCTCTCTACCTACAAGGCAGGTCCTCAGCCTCTGGAAATGCCCCATTCAGGCCCTACATGACCTGCACCAGTTCTGACTCAGCCCACAGCCTGGCGTGTGATAGTGTACATGGTTTCCCACACAAGAGGACATCAAAACACTGACTTTAGGCCAGGCGTGGTGGTTCACGCCTGTAATCCCAGCATTTGGGAGGCCAAAGCGGGTGGATCACTTGAGGTCAGGAGTTTGAGACCAGCCTGCCCAACATGGTGAAACCTCACCTCTACTAAAAATACCAAAATTAGCCGGGCGTGGTGGCAGGCATCTGTAATCGCAGTGACTCGGGAGGCTGAGGCAGAAGAATCACTTGAACCTGGGAGGCATTGCAGTGAGCTGAGATTGGATCACTGCACTCCAGCCTGGGTGACAGAGTGAGACTCCATCTCAAAAAAACAAAAACAAGAAAAACAGAACAAAACAAAATGAAACACTGACTTTAGACCTCTCCGTGAAGGTAGATTCTCCATTCC